GATGTCAGACAAGATATGAATGTTTTTTTGGGCTCAAATGAAAGAGCGGGTCGAGAAATGGCGTGCTAGGGCCTCTAAAGATGGTTTTGAACCAGGGGGACTCCTAGACCCCACTGGACAATGTTGGCACAACTCTGGTTTTCAACTCTGAAACTAGAGTTCAAAATCAAAGTTCATAACAGAGATGTCAGACAAGATGTGAATAAGAAATTTACCGTGAAGCGTGCGAATAGACACTGCCAATAAAAATTCCCAAGCTTAAATTTTTTCAACTGAATTATTATATTTGCCCCAGAAAAACTTCATCATTTTATTTAATTAAAAATCGCCAATTTATTTTGAATTATTGTATCCAATACTCGGAAATCGTCCCAGCCCAATCTCCCCCCTTACAGTGGAAATAGATTGCAGCCCAGAAAAAAAATTATTCCTAGAAGAATTAAAATAGATTCTTCGCTGATATTCACTTGCCCTTTCGTTGCCTACCACACCGTAGCTAAAGAAACAACAGTTACACCGCGATAGTCATCGTGCGGCCCCGTATAATCCCTCCATCATGTGCACGAGAGAGAGAAAGATCGAGAGCGGGACGAAGCAAAAAGTCCATGGGGGGAGAAAGAAAAAGAGACAAAGTGTGAGACAATGAAGAAAAGGGATAGGTGGGACACGGGAGGGATTCTCTCCTGTGATCTACTCTTCTTGTTTCCCATCTCCCTCTTCGTCTTCGTGGGGTATACGGGAGGCGAAAAGGTAGGTGCCGTTATGCCGTGTGTCTTCTACGTGATGTCCCGTTTAAAACCGGCGTTGTATTTCATAGTAAGAGCCGCAAAAAAAATAAATAAAATGTTTACGTGTTAAAACGAAAAAAATTGGGACAACTCCGTACCGGTAAATCTCGCTGTGACCTTGCGCTGGAATTCACCTTGTATTTTTATTTTTTACTTCCGAATTGAAACTTAATTCGTCATAATTTTTTTTTTTATGTCCATTGTAAACTTCCATTTTTTATATCGACTGGAAATTTTCAATTTTTTACATTTCATTTTTAGGTTTATTTGTTCTTGTTCATTTTTAAAAACCTATTTTGTTCATGTGAATGCATGGATGAATGGTGTATTTGTCGATATGTCAACTGATGAAGTTATTTTACAACATTTCGAAAAAATATGAAAAAAAAATGTAGCAATTTTTTTAATTCTGAATATAATTCCTCAATCTCGTAAAGTTCTGCAGTAAAAAGATGAATTATTATTTTTAATTTGAATCAATATTTATTTACTTTAAATCAACTTTATAATATTTTCAAAAACAATTGGATGAAGTCTAAAAAGATAAAAGAACGTCAATATGTTGGAGTGCATCCAAGGGATCGATTTTGTAACAATGTTAATGAATAAAGTCTTTGATGTGAATTTTTCTCCCCGATATTTCCACCAGTTATCCCCAAGTAGGTTAACCCTTTACGACACGGTGTTTAAAATTTTACACGTAAGATGTAACGTGCTAACGATACACGTTTTAATTTTAGTACCAGGCACGTCTGAGGCTTCCGGATACACTTTCGCACGCTCAGAAGATGCAGTGCGTGGATCATATCATCGAGGTTCTCGACCTCACCGGCTGTCAAGATACGAGTGAGTATATCGCTCTTACGTGTCCCAAATGTCGAACGTTTATGAAAGAGCAGTGAGATTTACCCACTCAATGGGTCTTCCCCGCAAGGCACTCAACAATGAGTGAATAGCGAAAAATTTTAGTAGTGAGAATAAGTTATTTGATATCTTATTTTTTGTTGATATTTAACATGAATGTAAATTTGAGGAAATGCGAAAAATCGCCGCACGTTGTCTTCCTCATTAGACACTCAGTGCATAGCAAAAAATTTTGCTAGTGAGAAAAAATTATTTAATATCTTATTTTTTGTTGATATTTAACATGAATATAAATTTGCGGAAATGCGAAAAATCGCCGCACGTTGTCTTCCTCATTAGACACTCAGTGCATAGCAAAAAAATTTTGCTAGTGAGAAAAAATCATTTAATATCTTATTTTTTGTTGATATTTAACATGAATGTAAATTTGAGGAAATGCAAAAAATCGCCGGTGGTTGGGTTTGAACCCACGACCCTCAGGTTCCCAGTCTGAGACTTACGCACATGGCTATCCTCTCAGTTCACAAAAAATTCGAGGATGGTTATTGTTAACTCATTTAAATGGATGAGGTAATCTGGGGATTATTAATATATAACCAATATAAATAGTGCTTTCTGTCATGAGTATTATTTTGGACTATTGACTTTATTCATTTCATTAATTAGATTTTATCTCTATTTGATTTTGATCCTATTGGATCTGTATAAAATGAAAATGAAAATGAAAATTGATTATAAAAGAAATAAATGACGGTAATATTTATATTTTTTTTATTGTTTCCCAATAGTAATTGGAGACTACACAAAACGTGGACTTTCTGGAGGTGAGAAGAAGCGAACCAGTATAGCCTGTGAATTACTCACGAATCCATCTTTAATGCTCCTCGATGTACGTTCAATAATTCAGATTAACTCCGTGTTTTCAACTTCATAATTAATGAATCGATGCATTAATTTTTTTATTGGAAATGAAACTGGGATAATATTTTAATTGTAAAAATTAATTTTTATGTTCAAGAAAAATTCTCCTTTTTTTGCGGAGAATAACATTCAATTGAATTTAGGGGGAAGAATCTTTAAATTTCAAAATTCAGTGCAATTCGTGAAAATTCCCTAATTTACTTTAATTTTCAATCTACAGTTTTTATCGATTTTTTCATTAAATTGAGAATTTGCAATGATAATAATAATAATTTTAATGAAGCAATTTTCCTTGAAATTTCAGTGAAACTTTCACTTGAAAAAGATTTAAATAAAAATAGAGAGCGATTTTTTCTTAATGAATTCCGTAACGAATTAGTAACAAAATAAAATAAATTTTACTTCTTCACTAGTTTGTCGTAAATATCTCAGAATTGAAATGAGTCATCGAAATTTTCACGAGACGTCTTCAGTAAAATTCCTCCTAGATTCAGATATTTATTAAAAGCTCATTCAGAAGTTCAGTTGATTCACCTCTGGGGTTATCACTTCGCTATTGCAGTAGAGATTCGTAATTAATGGATTGTGTGATTGATGACTCAGGAACCAACGAGTGGTTTGGACTCTCACTCAGCCCAGGCACTCATATCCCGGTTGAAAAAGTACGCGGAACAAGAGGGAAAGAGTATCGTGGTTACCGTGCATCAGCCGAGCTCCCGAATGTTTCACAGTTTCAGTAAACTACTATTACTCAGTCGTGGACAAGTGGCGTATTACGGCTCCACGGCTAATATTGGCAGATTTTTTGCTACGATTGGACTGACTTTACTACCACATTACAATCCTGCTGACTTCATTCGTAAGTATTTAATGTTTTGACATTAATTTTTTTTATAATTAATAGTTTAGGAATTAGAAAAGCTTTGACACTGAGTCGTATTAGAGAACCTTATTATTTCAAGACAAGTGAGCGATAGCATTGTTTTATAATTGAGCATAGTTATTGTTGCTAATAAATTAGCAATTTGCTTCCGAATGGTTTCTCTTTTTTTAATTCTTATTTCACTATTCTCTTCTTCTATTTTTTCATGTCATAGTACTATCGTCAATTGAAATGTCATCAAAATTTTGCGTATTATTTCGTTCTGTCAAATAATTCTACATTCAGACCCTCTCAAGACTCGAATTTGTTTTCAGTCCGGGTTTAATCGAGGTTCAATCAAGGTTTAATCAGTGTATAGCCGGGATTTAATCAGGGTTTATTCAGGATTTAGCCAGAGTTTAACCCAGGTTCTGTCAGAAGTTATTCGGGAGCATGAATCAATATGAATAAGTATTCAACATAATAGACTGGTACCTGAGTTTAATAGAGATAGAGATTTTTATATAAAAAGCTCATGACGGTATTGTGTAACTTGATAAGCAATGATGCTGTTCTCACCATTTTTCAACTTGATTAAGAAGCCATTGAAATATACTTTTCAAGCCCTGATTTAATTGCTATTACTGATGATTCTTTCAGTAATCATGAAAAAACCGATTTTCTCTTTCAAATCGCATAAACAATGTGCTGTAACTCAACAACGAATTGTGCGACCCCCATCATATTCTGATAGAATCAAGAGGGTATTGTTATC